AAGATAATTATGTTAATCGGTATATAAAGTCCAGTCTGATCGGATCACTCAGGATCCCTTAAAGGTAAAGAGATTATCTGTGAATCAATGAGAATCAATTTTTTTTAAAACCTACCTAAGCTCGTGTGATACCTTTAAAAATTTTCCTTTTGAAATTTTAAAGATTTAAATTAGTTAAAAAAAGTACTAGCAAATAAACTTCACACAATGTCACAAAAAGTTTTTTTTTTAAAGTTTATGTTTAAGGATATAATTCTTTATGTACGTACGTACGTACCGTATCATATTACAAATAAGTAACTTCCCCTTCTGTAACTTTGTATCAAAGATTATCGTGCTCCAATAATTGAATCTGGTAATGTACTGTACTGTACAGTACCAGTCATTTATTCAAAAAAATTATCTAGATCCATAATCTCTCGTTACCCAAGCTGGTGTAATTTGACAAAACCTTAGTAAAATTTCCAGAGTTAGTAATCTACTTAACCAAATTAGATCAAGTTTTTTTTATTTTAAGTTCTATAAATTCTATATGTTTGTAAAACAAAAAAAAAAAATTTTTTTCATATAATTGGATTTTGTGCGGTTATAATAATATAATAATATAATAATAAATAGCATTATTATTTTTTAACTTAACGTTAAAAAGATAATCGGTTGCACTAAATCATAATAAAAAGTATTAATGTCCTAATTTGGTAAATTATAAGCCCGGTTTTCTGTACAACCTATAAATAGATTTCATGTAAAATTTTTAAAGTTTTGACTAAATATAAATTATTAAATTAAATGTTATCCACATTGTTTTACCGACTTATTAAGCCAAGAGTACCAAGAATTTTTTCAAATTTAAGAAATTATGCTTCCTCACAAAAGCTGCAGACTTCTGCATTTACAGTTTTTGATCGTAAGGCAAAAAAATTACAAAGAGATCGAGCTGCTTTAGATATTGAAGCTAGTAAACAAGTTGACTATCTTAAAGACGAAGTTGCATATAGACTTGTGGATAGATTGTTGGTGATTTAATTTATTATTAGATGATAAAATTATGAAAATTCTTGTTTGGAAAGATGGCTATAATATCTGATATAGTGGTTGATATAGTGGTTGATTTTGTAGGATATTAAGCGAAAGTATGATACAATTGTTGATTTAGGTTGCGGATGTGGGCATGTAGT